CATTTAGAGCTACTTTAGGTATATGTTAAAGATTCTTTAAGTTACCACACTGGTGCAAAGTATTGCAAGTGAGAAGAATGTAGTCCAGTATTCAAGATTACTGAGAATAAGTGAATTTTTTCCTCGTTGGTGGGTCATTGGGATCAAGATGATCTGAACTGTTTTTTCTCAGAACCTGCAGTTCTACTGGGTTGCTGGAAGCTTAACACCAGGCGCCCTCCTTGAAGAAGGCATTAAATCTAGCCCTCAAGCTTCAATTTAGTCAACGTTTTTGGCTCTTGGCAGGTCTGGGTCCTTCAGGGACTCCCAAGGGCTTATGAAGTCTTAAAAAAAATGTCTTCTGGCCTGGGTAAAGGGTTTTCTACTTCCAAAGGAAAAATAAACAACCAAACCACTGAGTAAGTAGAACACCTATCATCAGTTTGTTATCAGTCCACTGACCTCAGACTAGCAGTGCAGCTCTGCCTACCGGCACAGACCAGGGAGAGGCAATCGATTGATGTACAGTCCGCTTATCCTTCATGATGTATTTTTGTTGTTACTTTTCCTCAACAGCCATCCCTATTAGGCATGAATAATCTGACTTAAAAAAAAAAGAACAAAAAACAGAACTGTTTTACGGCAAGAAAAAGATCAGGTACTTTTGCATCATGTAATTATTTTATTATTTAAGTCTTTAGGTAATAGCAGGTATTTGTTTTGTAATGAGAGATTTGAAAGCTAGTTTTCAACATACAGTAGTAGGTCATCTCTGCCACATATTCTTCTGTTTATCTTCCATTTTCAAATCTTGTTGCCCTACTTGGGGCCTGGATAAATGGTCTTTGTTTATGAAATCTCATTATTTTGCAGAGAGGTAAATGATAACCACACCTAGTGTCTGGTAGCAGCTGTAATGCTGCTATCAAGAGAGCACCATAGCAGCAGTTTCCCCAGCTACTGGTGCTGAACTAGTGGAATTATAGGTCCCAACATGTCGAAGCGTGTCGTGGATGCTTATTTTGTGGCATGTGAGCTCTCTTTCAAATGTTTGTCAGATTTGGACCTCAGCTTCTTAAGTATCATTGGATTTATCGGACAACATTCTGCAAATTCCCACTATTACTTACAGCTCTTTCAAAATTTGGCATTAAATCTCCTTTATTTCAGCCTTTTTAAAACTCCTTCTCCACAAATCTCTGCAATGGAATTTATTACCTTTCTATGGTGCTCTCGTGAAAATGCAGGAAAATAGACTCTCTAGGTCAAATTCACTGCCCATTTGCTTTTTTTTAGAGCTTAACTTCACTGTATTTTTTTTTCTTTCTTTTTTCCTTTAATCTGGAAGATTATTTCACCATTTCACTAGGCAGTAGGATCTTCTATCACAAGTGAATCACATTGTGTTACAGACCAGCACCTTCTGTTACTGAAGGAGAGGCTTCTAAATAGCTGATCAAGAAATGCTTAGGAGAATGGCTGCATGTTTTGATATGTTCTTTCCGTATTCTTTAGATGACCTCCAATGCTAAAGAAAAAGCGCTGGGAAGACCGGTGACACCTCAGTCAACCCTGTGATTGTCATTACAGCCATTTATTTACTCTCATCAGAAGCGCTCTAGAAATGTTTTTAAATTCATTTAGTTGAATTATTGATTAATGGAATGCTTTTGCAATTGTACCAAGTTATCACTAATTTACTAATCACCAAATGTAATAACTCATATTATGACGATCAAGTGCAGCTAGTACTAAAAAGTACCTATGTTCATAATATAGTCAAAGACTCATTGCCATCTCTACTAGGCTTCATCAAACCGTATGCTTGATTTCTTTAGGCTGAATGAAGGCCTTTCTGATTATCTATTGTACTGTAACCTTAAATACACTGTCATTTGTTTCTTTTCCTCCACTGACCATTGTACAAAGAGTGTACAAGAAGGTGTCTAGTTTAATCATGCTGAAAAAAGTAACAATCATATTCTGGAAATATTTTCTTGTGGAACTCATTGCTACAAGATATCAACTCAAGAGCCTATAAGGCTTAGAAACTGACTGAATGCAAACTCTCAGAATTACATTAGGGTTAAAAGAATATAAACCCTTGTGCCTCAAGATAGATAGATAGTTTTTAACTCATGCAGATTGGGGAGAAATTTCCATTTGGGCACATAATTTCAGAGCTACAAACTTCTGTACTTTTTCAGCCTTCTGAAAAAATAACCACCACGTCACAGTGAGATTCTGGAGTAGCTGGCTCAGTGGCTAAAAACAATATAGCAAGTTTTACGCTCACCTGCAGCCTCAAACACTACATTGTTGAAGAATTTCATGAATTGGTGTTTCTAGTTCAGAGTATTGTCAGTAGTTGTGGTTGTGTCATGTATGTCTTGTTGCGTATGGCCTCCAAAAGACTTTATAAATAAGTTCATGAGAGTAAACAGCATGGTTCTGGTGGTTTTTTTTGTCTGAAGACTTTATCTAACCCTAGACTATCAGTTCTGTCATAATATTTGCTCTTTGGACACTGGTAGTCATTCTCATTCAGAGATTCATTCTGTTCCTCTCCAACTCATTACTATTTGATTTAGCTCAAATGATGGCAAATATTCATTTGTCCAGTGGAAAGTTACTCTTCAGCTCCAGCTCGTTTTTGTGATCTATTTGGCTGTGATCTTAGCTTCTTTAGGGCGTTTTTTTTATGAGATTTCTAACTGTCATCAATCAGCCTCTAGTTTCCCCCAAAACACTCTGTTAGTGCATATTGGGTTAGGCTGCCCATTTTTGCAAATGAAATTTATATGCAGAAAGCAACATATCCCTATGTAGTCTCCCTTAAATTAGCAAAAAGTATCTGTAAAGCTTGTGAGCAGACCTGATCACTAATGTGGGCGCATTCAAGAACATCCAATATATCTAGATTTCAAGGTGAAGAGAGTCTTATCAATGTCTCTTCTGGTTCTTGACCAGATGCAGAGTTCAGTTATTGAAGAAGGAGAAAGTGTTGCCCTCCGTATATAATGAGATGATGTCTATCCTGAAGCAGCGGAAGATACCATAGCCCAAGAAGAGAATTTTGTGCTGAATCCAGAGCAGGGGCCAATAAAGACTGCTTAGGTTAGCTTTTGGATGTGAATCTGTATGATACTGATGGGCCAGGATTGTCTGTGAATTCCAGTGCTACCTGGGTTAGGGCTACATTGAGGGGGCAGTGATATGCTGCCGAAGCCAACGTGAGCTAAAGGAAAAGTATTTTTAATGGTTAAGGCAAACCAAATTTCAATTTTGTGTAATGGAAAAATGCATTGATGAACAATCTCCTTTATGAAGTGAAAATGTAGCATTCCTATTTAGAACAAACTGTGACAAGTTTTATGACCTGAAGTTGTTGGGTGGGATGGTTCTGCTCATTCATTGTGTTGGTCAGGTTGAGGAGGTCTTAGATGGTATATGAGCAAGATAGCCTCTATCTCTAGACAGCAGAGTCCTGAGCCAACAGAAGGTCCTTCATGAGGACCAATAATAGTCTGCTTGAGAGGAAGTCAGCTGTTGTGGATGGTGGAGGGAGGGTAGATGCTGAGCTCAGTGAGCCAGGGCTGTTCAGCAAACGCTAAGTTGCTTTTTTCAAAGACTTTCCTCTTAGATTAAAAATCTAGCCAGCAAACTGCAGCACTTCTTTCTCAGAAAGGGTAGCAAAATGACAGCAACGCAGATTGTTTGGGTTGAAGGAGGAGTTTTTATCTGGAGGAAATGAGGATGAAGGGTATCTAAGCAGAGGTGTGGCAATGCAGTTGCTACCTTTTGCTCACCGGTTCTTTTCCTGCACTTCCTAATGGCGACTTCTTCTTCCGCTTGCTTTGTCCATTACATTGGTTTTATTTCTCTCTTTTCCTCATGGTCGTTTGTCCTTAGAGAAGATTAAAGCTTTAAAGGGTGAAAGAGTGCTCACAGAAAGTGTTCAGAAGTATTTGATATCATGGTATTTCCCCAAGTTACCCAACACAGTATGAAAAAAGTACTAGCATTTCTTAGTGTAGGCTGACAGCCAGCCAGTTCCTCTGGGAGTGATGTATCCCTCCCTTACAGTACCATGTTGTTTTCCAATGATAACATAAAATTATCCTAAAAGTTCTCTAAATTAAGTAGAGTTTTTAACAATGCAGAAATTACCTAGAGAAATCCCAGCTAGCCTAAAAAATAAATAGCTGAATGTATCAGCTGCAGACATCATATATCATGTAGTATGTGCTGCATATGTATGTGTATTTTAAATACTTGCATACTATCAATAGGCTGTAGCCAAAGCAGATGCATTGCTGGACATCGTGTATTGAGACTTTAATTAGTATTTCCTCTAAATGTACCAGGGAGTTGTCTCACTCAACCTATATATACTGTTTTGAAAAAGTAAACTCAAGTCTTGCAGATACATCTATAAATGAATATATTTTACTCTTTGGAATTTCTGACTGTCATGCTAAGGGATAGTCAAAGGTGGCTTGCTTACAGGATTACCAGAATCTGTGGACATATCTAAAAGGGAAACATATCAAATAATGTATTAAATGTCAAGTGCAATAGTGACATAGCGCTTTTAAACAGTTTTTTAGACATAAATACACTAGATGTTCCCTCTTATTTATGCAGAATATGTTTCAAAAAGCAACCTGGTTCTTTATGTAGAAATGTAGATCTCTGTCTACAGTGTACGGTGTGGGACAGTACTGCTTTCTGTTTCAGATGTTGCTGGTCTTTGTTATGAGCATCTGCTAAAATGTTCAAGCCAGCTTTGAAATGTTTACCGAAATGTTTCTGCAATTTTAAGCTTATTACACCCAAATTCCTAATACTTTACAAGTATTGATACCACTTGAAACCCGGCAGGTGTCAGTTTATAAATCAGTATCATGTCTGCCTATCGCAATTAGACATTAGTTCCTGATGTTCCTTCCACGAGGGACGTGCAAATTACATCAGAGGATGTTCTGACGTTCCTAACAAAACGTTCTGATTTTCTGTAGGAAATGCCATTCGGCCCATAGCCCTCCGTGCAGTGTCTGCTATAGCCCGTGCACTTCCAGGATTTCCCATCTTGGCAACTGGAGGAATCGATTCTGCTGAAAGTGGGCTCCAGTTTCTGCACAGCGGTGCTTCTGTTTTGCAGGTACTTTTTTTTTTCTGTAAAGCATGAAATTTAAAATGAGTGTAATTAAAAATCACAAGCTTAACACAGAGTTAAGTTTGAGATTCCCAGTCTGCTTCCTTTATTCTCAGTTTTTGCCTTCTGCAAAGATCCTGTCAAGGGGAGGGGAACTCCAAAGGGCACTACTTTGGTCCCACTGGGAATCAATTTAAGGTAACTCTTCTTCATCCAGGCATCTTATGTCACTTACGCATGTTTGCTGTAACAGAAGGTACAGAGCTATAGATAAGGTGTTGGCATTGCAGCCCACTGCTTTGGAGTGAGCCGTTGGACAGTATGCAATAATTGACACTGTTTATCTTACCTGATGGGGTGTTTTGAGGCTCTGGTCAGATGGGAATGGTGAGTTAGCCCCTGTCATGAAAGGGAGCCTTGGTGGTCTGTTATTGTGGACATCAGCCAATTGGCTGGAAATCAGCCCTTACCTGTTGCAGTTGAGATGTCAGAGCATCGTTGTGTGTGCCGTATATGTTGGACTGGTTAATAAAGAGCAGGTGGTAGTTATACTGTTCCATTATATGTTGTTACCTTCTGGCAGATATGAGTCCCCTTTGTGTGGAGTTCCCAGCGTAGACAACAGCCGCTGTGGATCTCTTGGATATCGGCTTTGTGTCACTCTGCAGTGACGCAACTGGGGTGATTTAATTCCTGCAATTCACTTTGACATTAAAAATTAGATTCAGCCTGACCATCCTGAGTGCACATCTATGATGACTGCTGAGATTAGTTACTTGTTTGCTCTGTTGCAAAAAATAAAATCTAGGCCAACTTAATGTTTAGTTTGGTTTGTTTTTCTATGCGCATGGAAATTAGCATCTGTGGGAAGTGAAGTAGAAGGCTTTTGTAGGCTTACTATGTTCATTAGCTTTATTAATACCATTTCCTGTTTTTTTAGTTTATATTAGAATGCTTTAAACTCTTCCTTCCCATGAATAGACAAAAGGTCTATTTTTCTTATGTAATGATCTGAAGTTTCTTCCGTGTAAATGCTCAGTAATGGTACAAATTACAGAACAGCATTTGTCTACAAAAAATCAGGATTGACAAGGGAATGTTTTTAGAGCTGTACATGCATTTCATTTGTTACTGCTAATAGAGCTGCGGTTTCGATGGCTTCATCAGCAACCAAGTTATGTGACCTCAGCTACACATAGTGGAATGATTCTGTGTTCTATATGTACTACATCTGGTTTTGGATGGCTAAAAATTAAGATTTTTTGATGTCATTTATGCCCTTGTCATTTATATAGACTCTGTACATGTTTATATTTTATTGCTTCTTCTCTTCCGTGTTGGTTTGCCCCAAAAGTAATGGAAAATTCTGAAACATTTTAATACAGCCTTCCCAATCAGTGCTCAAGAAACTAATATTGGATTTACAAAACTTTTTTAATTTTTATTTTCTTTTCACTAATAATTAAGTTCTCTGGAACTGGCTTCCAGGAGTAACTTGAATCTCTACTGGTCTTGGCTTGGGTCTGTACTGCTCTTCTGCCGTTTAGAGCCACGTAAGACTTAACTCTTTCCAACAAAATTTTCTTAGAGATGGTGAGAAACTTCTGTCCTGCACCTCAGGCTTCACCAGTTCAACTTAAATCAGCTCTAGAACTGATGTAAACCTCTTCTGTTTCAAACCTATCCTCAGTTTGAGTGGTTTATTTCTGTTTCATTAAAATAGGGAAGTCATTTATACTGATGTGAGATAAGTGGATTCTAAAACTGGTGTGCAGGCATGGATCTGAACTACTTTAATTACATTTATTTAAAAATAAACCTTTAATAAAGTCGATGCAAGATTATGAATAAATAATTCTCTCATCTCAGGAAAGGCAGATGGAAGGAAGGGTAAACAGGTAAATTCTATGGACAGTCTTATAAGGAATACTCTTGACCAAGACTACTCTGAAACTTTTGTTTGCTGCTCAGACTAGATATGTCGTGATAGCTAGAGCAAGGCAGCCTCATCTTCATAGGTTATCTTTGGAACCAGTTTCTCTCACAACTTTATGAAAGAGTTCTCTCACCTTATATCAATGCCCCATTTGTTTCTTCTTCAACAGTCAAAACCTCTGTAGTTTACTGTAACAGCTCTGACAGTTCACTCATGCTTTCTCAGTACTAAAATATACAGCAAGTTCAGAATTTGGAGATAACATTACATAAAATGATTTACTGAATGATTCAGTTTAGGAGGATTCAAGTATATTGTAAGTCCCTGAGTTAAACAGGTGGAAGCTGGGACAGTATCAGGGGAATTTATGTATGCTTCCCCTAGTCTTGTCTTAAGTATCTGTTTTGGATACACTTGGAGATGGTGCTGAATGGACTTTTGAACTGACCCAGTACTGCCCATCTTATGGTCTTACATCATGTTTCCAAACTATGAAGATGCCCTATGAGAGATTTACCCAGAGCCAGAGGGAATACAGCGAGGGTTCGGACAGGGCTGTAGCTCTGCACCTCAGCTGTTCTGAATAAGCAATAGTCATCTGCTTGCAGCTGAAAACCTAGAAGTCTTTACTGCCTCTACTGTCAGCACTCCATTATGCAGAATATTGCTTAGATGTTTTCTTTTTAGCAGTATTTTAATCAGTAGGAAATGTCAGTTCATCCAGCATTTAAACACATTCTATCTGATAATGCTAAGCAGCACAGATTGTATTGATCCATCTGCGAAGCCTAGTTAGAGAGCCTAGGAGAGCAACACTTGTGTGGTCATTATACTTCCCTTTGTTTTTCCTAGACAAGAGTCCTGTATCTTCTCTGCTGCAAGAGGATGATGTTGATGAGCTAAGAAAATCTGAAGGTTCTGTGTGTGTTGATTTAATTGCAAAGTGGCATATCTCTTAGAGAAGGAGGTTTATGAATAATAAATGTACCTCCATTAAAAGCAGGATCAGGTTTTCTGCTGCATCTATTTCACCAACTATCACTTCTCCATTATTTTTTTCCAATGGCTTTTATTTTTAAAATGGGGGGATTTATTTTTCATTGACAAAATCATTTTATGCAAAAATGCAAGTCTGGAATCATATTTTAATATATACCATAACCAACTCAAGTGATGTTAAGCCAGGTGTATTAGGGAATGTGCAAAGAATTTCAAATTTTGATGCGTTTAGTAACCTAGTGCCTTCTATCCCCTCCTTTAGAAGACGGAAGGCAACATTTTAGCCTCTTTACTGACAAAAAGCTCGTGCATAAAGAAGTTTTGCAGCAGGTGTAGAAAACTAGCTGGATCATTGTAGTCAGTAGTATCTGAAATTAAAATTTACAGCAGTTGAACAAAGCATTGTTCCTCTTTCTGCACTTCTGAAGCAGTGGCAAAAAAATTTGCGTTTTAAATTTTTCATTAAAAATACTGGAACATTTCAATCTTTCTTCAACTCATTTCATAGCACTGTATTTTTTTGTAACACACCCAGATCCACCAATCCCTACTTAGCACAAGCATAAAATTAAAAAATAACAACTTCATCCATGGAGAGCCCAGTCCTGAACTCCTTGCATACGCAAAGCTCTAAGAGATGTCTAGCTACATCTTTTTGAGGTACAGTTCATTACTGTAGGTTTCCAGTGAGGCTGAAGTATTTTTTTCTTTTAAGTGAGGTTTTTTTAAAAGCTCCAACTTATCAAAATAAGATGTATATCGAATTTGTTGCATCTTTTGCATCATGAATGTGATTTACCGTGTCACATTGATGGTTTGTTAAATTTTTGCAAGGCTTTGAAGCAGACATACATTTTTCAAAGTCATCTCGCTGTAGGAAATTAAAAATGGAGACAATTATAGAAAATTCCAGTGGAAAGAGAAAATGCATTATGGAAAAAGCAATAAAAGCACAAAAATATTAAAGTAAAAATCACTTCACAGTAGCCTGAATGATTCAATTGTAGATCAATATTGTGTAGTTAATGCATTAGCAGTAGAGCATTAATTTGCAATTACCGCAGGTGATCTGATCCTCTGTGTTCTGTCCATTGACATAAATGACCTTTTGTTGAAAAAGATTCTGCAGTTGTTATTTTTAGCAGACGTAACAAAAAAAAAAAAAAAAGGTAGCACGAAGGAGTACTTTCTGAAGTATACATTTTCCATGGAGGAGTCTCTTAACTTTATTCTCTGGCCTGCAGTAGTTTTGTTAATCTTTAATATTAGTCATTAACTTGAAAAGAATATGGGCTGCTTTCACACAGATTTGTATCCTTACCAAACATGGAGGCCACGCAGGTCTCTTGCTGCTACAGCGTGGATGTCTGTAAGGCTCTCTGCAGAGTAAGATTGTTAAAATTGACCCATAATACTCCTTTTGCTGGTCCACCTCCCTGAGAACTGAACTATAGCTTTGCCGTGAGCCCTGTCGCAGGCTCCCTGTGCCATGAAGTGAGAGCAGGACCAAAGGAAGGCCGGACCGACTGCTGCGACGCCAACACGGAGCAGCACCAGCACGGGCAGCATAACGCTGCCGTTGTCCCAGTACCAGCAGGTGTGCTCGCTGCACCAGGAGGGCCCACGTGCATCCCTGCACAGGCTCTGCACGTCTCAGCCTGGCAGCTATCTTGGGCCTCTCGGTACCCTGCTCCACTGCACTGCGGTCGCCGTCCTTCCTGGTCACAGTCCAGTCCTAGGTTTCCCATCACTCTGGGGAAGGAGGAAGGCAACAGGACCAATCCTACCTGTGCTGCCTTACATTAATAGGCACGCTCAAATCAACTTTGTCTTTTCCTTCACCCACATACTTTTCCCACTTGCACCAGACGTGATTTAGTACCTTGCAGTCCTTTTCCTGCAGGCGCTGCTCATCACGTTGTCATGTTCAGCTCAAATATGCGTGCTGCCCTCTTAGCTCGCTCTAATAGCACTGCCTCTCTCAGGCAGGGAATGCAACGGGAGGGCATCCTGCCTCAGCCAGGTGCTGCTGCGGTGCTCTCGCTGCCCTGTGCCCTTCCCCATCCCCTAT